TTAGGACTGAGGAAACTATGTTGTTGTTATGTTGTTAGGTGCCATCAAGTAGAGTACAGCCCATCGTGACCCTAAGAACAACAGATGTGAACCCTGTCCTGTCCTACACCATCCTCATTTCTGACACACTCGAGCCCATTGCTGTTATCACTGTGACAGTCCGTCTGGTTGAGGGTCTTCCTGTCCTTCACCGACCCTCCACCTTCCCAAGCATGATGTCCCTTTCCAAGGCATAGCCTCTCCTAGCCACATGCCCGGAGTATGTGAGTGGAACTTCATCATCTTTCCCTCCAAGGAGCACTCTGGCTGCACCCTCTCCAAGACACATCTATTCATTCTGTTGGCCGTCCACAGGATGTTCAGTGCTGTTCTCCAACACCACAGCTCAAAGGCGTCCCTTTTTCTTCAGTCATCCTACTTCGACTACATTTGGGGAGGGGACCGGAAGTTACTTTTTGGGCATAGAAGTTCTCGCTTGGGCTTGCCAAGTTTGGGATACCAGTCAGTCATTGTGAGTCTGGGGAAGCAGCCACATTGGCGTCTTTGGTGTTCTGTTGGCATCCAGAGGACCAGGATGTAGAGAGATTCCCAGTGGGAGAGAGTCTACATAGAAGAGACCCGGGCCTGGTCGAGTAGGGGTCCCCTCAGAGAGGAGACAGAGCAGGGTGATGGTGCCTGGAGGGAGAGCAGGCCAGCTCAGAGCCAGCAGTGTGCAGACACCACCAAGCCACTTCCTTGTGCCTCAGATAGGTCCTTAGGGCCACCCAGATGCTTCACCAATGCTTGTTCAACAAGCCCGGTGGAAGATATGACAAAAAAGTGGACTTTTTCAGTGAGCCTACATTTATAGTGGAGCTTTAAGGAGATGAGAAGGTTTTTAGTAATACATTTCCAGTTACAGACTATTTTCAGCGCAGTTAGTAATAAGACAGCAAGCCACTGCCACCAACAAGCCAGGCCCCTGTTACTCATAGTCATTGCCAAGCATGTCTCCACCATCATCACCAAGCTACCTCAGTGTCCCACGGTCATCACCAAGCCAGTCCCCGGGTGTCCACGGCCATCGCTGAGCCAGTCCACGGCCATCGCCGAGCCAGTCCCCGGGTGTCCACGGCCA